AACGAGTTAACGGCCCGAATTAACAGAATGACTAATGGAGTGCATTTCGTATAGTTAAGGGATCAAAAAAGTGCAAAAAATTGTTAAGGGACCAAAAATGTGCAACTCACTAAAGTTGAAGGACCAAATTTAGCATTTAACCCTTTTCCTATGGCTTTCATTTGAGAATTAATAATTTCCATTTTAACACTGTTTTCTCGGTGGAGAAGTTCTTTCAAAGGAGAAGGAAAAACGCACCTTCATTTGGATCAAATTTATGAAGATTTCTTCGAAGGTGGTGCAAATGCGTGTACTATTGGAAAAAATAACTAAAGGTGATTTGCAACAGTATTAAAATGCCCAATTGTCAACAATGCCTGTTTTGTGTTTACCATTGTTGGGTCCTCGGTCATTGGATTCTCTAGTTACTATAACCTAAAGTTGACAATACCGTATTGATATGTGTATTGATTTTGTTACTGAAATGATATGTATCAAATATTAAAATTTTTTACGTACCATTTTGATTTATCGCTATAAATATATATTTTTATAAATTAAATATCAAACTTTAAAATAAAATAAGAAATACTAATATTTAAAACCATCATATTCTTATAAATTAAAAACAAGTTTAAAATGATCATTTTTAGTTCCTCAATTTTTAATATATGTTTATTTTTTGTCCATCCACTTTAAGTTAAGGAACTAAAAATGTGTATATTTAGATGAATTTAACAGAGTAATTAATAGAAAGACTAAAAAAATACATTTTTCATAGTTAATGGACTAAAAAATTACATTAAAAAATCAAAGGATGAAAATTAGGTAAAGCATTAAACTTGAGGACCAAAAATGAAATTTACTCTTTTTTAATTTGAATTGAGTGGTACAAGTGAATTTTCATGTATTGGCCGGTACGTTGAAATAGTGGCATGTACATTCAAATTTGACTAAAATAGATAAAATTTGATCAAAATGAAATTCAACCATATACTTTTTTGGTTTAATTTAAAATTTAGTATGTTTCGACTATACCAACTGATACGATACGATACGATAATGATAACTATGCTAGAACCCCAAGTATGGATGCATACAAGAAAATATAGGATTGAATTTTTAACTCATTAAACTAGAGTTACTAATAGTTAAATAAAAAAAATTAGAGAATTGTATGTTTTGGATCACAGGACCAGTTCAACTAGGGGTGGGCAAAAATTGGTTTTGAATTAACCAAAAAATTTTTTCTTTAATTTTGAGAATCAAAACTGAACTAAAGTTTAATCAAACCAATTGGTTTGATTACAAATAAAATTGATTTCATTCAGTTTGGTTTCAGTTTTTATCAAATAAACATTAATCAATTTTTTTTAATAATAAATTACATTTAATGTCATATTTTATCATATTTTGTTATATTTATCTAAATTTTGGTTTTTCAAAAGGCTCATTTCGGTTTTTGATTAATAAAAAGTTTAATTAAAATAAAACTAAAATTTATTCGATTAATATCACATCGAAACAATAAAATTTAAAAATTATTGAAACTGAACTAAATTCATTTTTTTATTCAATTTCCAAGTAACCATTTGATTATTCACCCAAATGCCCACCCTAAAGTTCAACTCAAAATATATATGAGCAATACAAATTCAGGGAGAGAAAGAAGAAGAAAAAGACAGAAAAGTGACTATTCAAGTCGTCCTCGCGAGCGGCCATGGATATTTTGTTTTGGTTAAATTTTTATTTTGGTCCCTAAACTATTGTACAGATCCCTGATTTGGTCCTTAAACTAAAGAAATCCCTGATTTGGTCCTTAAACTATTGTACGGACCCCCACTTTGGTCCCCACTGTTTATAATTTGGCCTAAATTGGTCTTTGAACTATTGTACAGACCCCCAATTTGGTCCTTACTGTTTACAATTTCGCCCCAATTTGGTCCCGAGCTATTATTTAACAAGAGGACCAAGTTGGGGTTAAATTGGTAAATAATAGGGACCAAATTGGGTATCCGTACAATATTTTAGGGACTAACTTGGGAGTCCGTATAATAGTTTAGGGACCAACTTAAGGTCCGTACAATAGTTCAAGGACCAAATTAGGGATTTCTTTAGTTCAGGGATCAAATTGAGGGTCCGTATAATAGTTCAGGGACCAAAATAGAGGTTTAACCTTTTGTTTTCTCTTTTGAAAATAGGCAATGGGCGGGCATGAACATTGAATACGGCAAGGATTGTCCTAGGCTGTACGAAACTCCCAGCAGCCTAAGGTGA